CGGGGTGAGGCCCAGGAAACTGCTAAACTTCCTGCAATGGGCAAGACAACTCCTCACCAAAGAACTATCTGGTTCAAATTTTCAATAGAGCCAAGATAGAAAAACCTCAAACTAAGGGAATTGAGAAAGCATGGAGAGGATAGAAGTTAAGCAAGCTGATTTAATTGGATTTTTAACTGATTAGATATAGATATGAGGGAGAAGGAGAGGGGGATTTTAGGATTCTAGTGTGGGTAATTTGAAGGACAAAGGAGAAATGGGCTACGGAAAATAGAGACAAGGAATTAAATGTTGGATATATTAAGCCTAAGGCATCCAAGTGATGCACAGTAAGTTGGAAAGAAGAGGCAGGAGATGAGAGGAATTTGAGCTGAAGATCGGAGTTTTGGTAAATGTTAGGGCAGAATCTCTACAGATAAGCTCCAAGAATTTGCATTTTTGGTAAGCACTTAGGGGATTTTGCCGCACGCTAAACTTTGTGAATAATAGATTTAGGTCTCAGAAGAGAAGTTTGGAAAGAAGCAGACATTAAGGTAGCCAGAAACTAGGAAAGAGCAGAGTCCCACATACTAAGGAAGGAGAAAGTTGAATGCAGAACTTTATCAGGGCAAGAGGTTGCTATAGAATAGTACTGGCCATTAGACATATAATGAGAGTCAAATATGTAATTGTAAATTTTCTAGTAGCAATATTAGAAAGGTAAAAAGATAGGTGACATTAATTTTATAAATTTGTTTAACCCAATGTATCTAAAACATTATCATTTTACTATGTAATTAATATAAAATTATTCATAAAGTGTGTTATCCTTTTTTTTCATACTAAATCTTAGAAATCTGATGTGTATTTTATACCTCCAGTGCCTCTCAGTTTGGACTAGCTACATTTCAGGTACGCAGTAGCCACAGTGGCTAGTGGCTACAATATTGGATACCATAACTATATAATGTCAAGTAAGAAAAGAACTATAATGTATGCTTTAGCTACACTAGTAATGTGGTCATAGATGGTATGATAAGAGCTCTTCCAATGAAGTGGAGGGTAGAAGCCAGAATATACTCAGTTCAAGAGTGAGAAGTTTGATAACAGCTACCACAGGAAGTATTTTCAAGAAGCTTTATTATTATTACTGTAGTATTGTAACTGCGCAAATCTTCACTTCTTTAAAATGATCTTTTCTCTTTCTCCTTGATTCAAACTGGCCTTGAGCTCACTTGCTTCTTTTCTTTCCTTGTCCTTCTGGTAAAGCATGACCACTTCCTTAATTATTAAGCCCTTAGGTCAGTATTAAATACTGTAATTTGTTGCTTGCATTTGTAAGTAAATGAAATGCTCAATTCCAGTTAGAGATTAGGGGAAATGAAGAAATAACTAGTGGCAAATAAGAACAACATTTTAGGTCTATATGAAGTTAGAGACCACACATATGTAAAGACATAAATCTATGATGTGAAAATTTCAACTTCTAGTGTGTAGGTGTCCTTGTGTGTTACCAGTGAAGTCTTACAACTGGATTAATTTGAAATAGAGGAATTGTCCATAACATGCATCAGAAGGACAAGGGGGTTTAGAATTTTGTCAAGGAAATATTACAGGATGGTAAGAGTCATGAGAGAAGACACCATGCTGGTTTGGTTTACTATACACAGCCTACAACTGTTAGCTGAGTAAGTGAAATAGTTAAAGTGATAAACTTTGGAAACAAATAAAACAGGGAAAGCTGATTGCTATGAGGAATTGAAGAGAACCTGAGCTCTCAGAATCAAAATAAAAGATCAGGAGGTGAAGGCAGTGATTGAATTGGAAGAATAAAGGCTTGTGGTCAGAGGGTAGAACTAAAATTTAAGATGTCAGCTGGTGAATAAATCTTGGCTTCACATAGAAGACACTTGGTGATGTCCAAAAGAACCAAGAATTGGGAAAAACGTAAAACATTGGCATGGAATGGGTCCCAAGTTTGGGCTGAGATGGCATGGTGTTCTGAAAGGGGATATGGGAAATTAAAGAGGATAGATTTTTAGTAATTGTTTTCTTTTTCTTTTTGTAAGCTTTCATGTTGAATTTTAATATATCACAGAAGAGTATACAAGTCTTAAGTCTACAGTGTGAAGAATTTTTATATTTTTGTAATCACTATCCAGGTCAAGAAATTCCCAGTATCTCAGAAGCCTCCTTTATGCAGCCACCCAATTATTGTCACCTGTCACCAAAGGTAACCACCATTCTAACTTCTTTCACCATAGACTGGTTTTGCCTAGTTTTGAATTTGTAGTTGTACCAACATTATGTCTGTGAAATCCATCCCTGTTGTGTTTAGCAGTAGTTCTCTGTGATCACTGAATTTTATTTCTATTACATGAAGGTGACAGCATTTTATTTGATCTGTTTCACTGTTGATGGATTTTGGGTTGATTTCATTTGTGGCTTTTACAAATAATGCTGCTGTAAATATTCTATCTTTTGGCGCATGTATATTCACCCTTTTGTTTGGATATGTAGTGGATAGTGGAATTTTTGGATCATAGGCAATGTGTATGTTCAGTTTGAGTAGATAATGCGAGTTTCCCGAAGTGATTGCATCAATTTATACTCCTAAACACATTCGCCGACACTTGGGATTATCAGTCATTATTGTTGGTTTTCATTTTAGTTATTCTGGAGGATGATAAGTAATTATTTTCTAAAGCTAAGTTGCTTCAATATACCAGTTGGGGTACAAAACAAAACTCTGACTATGTGGGCTCTGAAATTAGATGTTTGCTTTGAAATTTTTGTTCAGCTACCTGTAAGTGGGATAACCTATTGAAGTTACTTTAAGTCTCTAAGCTTCATGTCTCTTCTATATAATAAGGATAATATCATCTGTCTTATAGTGCTGTTGTGGGAATAAGTGAGTGTGTGTGCCTGTGTGTGTGTGTGTAATATGTCGAAGTAACTGGCTTAGCCCCAAGATGGAATTGCTCATGCTAAGCCCCATGTTAGGAAACCAAAACTTAACTAAGTTTCTATGCTATGTTCTCCCAGGAAAAGACGCATAGGCCGGCCAATCAGTGGTAACTAGGCCTGCTCAACACAAGTTACCTAACTAGGCTCCAAGACTTCAATGCTGCATATAGGGATATAACCCTCTTTAACCACTGAGCAAATGCCTCATATGATTTCCCCGTTCTCGCTCCTTTCTGCCTATAAAATCCTTTTATTTTGTACAACTCCTCAGAACTTCTTATCTGCTAGACTGTATGCTGCCTGATTCATGAATAAAGCCAATAAGATCTTTAAAATATACTCAGTTGAATTTTGTTCTTTAACATATGTATGTATTAATAAGAATTATTATAGCTACCAGTTATTGAGAGCTTAGCTATATGCCAGGCACTATGGTAGACTGTGTGTATCTTTATGTGTGTGTATATATATTTCTACAATATTTTATACGTGTGTGTGTGTGTACACACACACATACCTCTAAGTAAAAACACACTTCCTCTTGTATTTTCCTTTTATACTATATACTCCTTTACTTCTGACACCAGATGTGTGGGTTTCCCACACATGAAGTTCTATAACATCAGCTGGGTGTCCTACAATTTAACTCAGTTCTGACACATCTACCTTAGATAGCATCATATCCCACTGGTTAAGGGTTCAGTCCTGCAAGCCTACCCCTTCCCCACTTCAGACTCCAATCTTAAGTTCAGGTTGTTACCTGTGCTTCTGACCCACCACCTATGGGTTCCCATGACCCTCTCCTCAATTCATTTGCTAGAGCAAGTCACAGAATTTAGGAAATTATTTTATTTACTACATTTCTGGTTTATTAGAAAAATATATCTTAGGAATAGCCAGATCTAAGAGATGCATAGGACAAAGTACGTAAGAAGAGGCTCAGAGCCTTCCATTGCTTCTCTGGAGTACAGCACTCTCCTAGAACCTTACATGTATCCATTCACCAAACCTGGGAGGGTCTCTGAACCCCATCTTTGGTTTTTTGTGAAGGCTTCATTAAGTAGGCATGATTTATTATTCATTGGCAGTTGATGATAGAACTGAATTTTGAGCCCTCTTCCCCTCTCAGAGGTCGGGTGGGGCCTAAAGTTTCAACTGTCTAATCACCTAGTTGGTTCCCTTGGCAACTAGTCCCCCTTCCCTGGGGCTAGCCAGAAGTCTCCTCATTAACATAAACTCTGCATTGTTGCACAGGTTTTGTTACGAATAACAAAGACACCTTTATCACTCTTATCATTTAGGAAGTTCCGAGGATTTTAGGAGCTCTGTGCCAGAGAAGGAACCCACCACGGAATGTAAGTTTTTTATTGTGTATTGCAATACTCTTCAATATATATGTATATATCTCCATACATATGCCTGGCACACTGTAAGCTTTCAATAATCGGTAGCTATAATTATTCTTGCTACTATATGGACTTCCAATTATATTTGGGGGGATACTGGTAATCAGCTCACACATTCTTTCATTCATGACATGCTATATTTTAATCTTGAAAACAGGATGTTAAACTGAGAAGTGGAGTTGTTATTTAAACCTTTATCTCTTGACTTCCCTCTCACCACTTTGTATTATTTCCTACAACAATATTTAAGATTCAATTGAATTAAAGGAATGTGACATAGAAAATCTAACTGATGACTGGACAGTAGGACAGATCGAAACAGCATTTTTAGCTTCTGATTTTTTCATTTGAAGCAAAGATTTCAGACGGTTGTGGGGGTGGCGTGGGGAAGGAAATACAGATCTGTCCACAGCTGCTCCTCAAAATACTAGCCATATAACCAGGAGAGAATTGGGCTCAGATTAAAATCCCAGGGCTTTTCATTGCCGTCATGATCATTATTGTATCAATTAAGATTCATTTGGGTGTCTGCAGTGTGTTTTGAACTATATTAGAGAAGGAAGCTGATGATGACAGGAATGATTTTAACCATTTTGCTTATGTTTGAGAATGACCCAGATGACATTAAAAAAAAAAAAAGCAGAAATAAATTATTAAAATCCTGTAATTTAACAGCTCTTACAATCATAAAATATTAGAACTAGAAAAGGATCCAATTGGTTACACAACCAATATTAAAAGAAACAATTAGTAAAGGTTACACAGCCAGTAAGTAATAGGGAAAGCCAAGACTCGACTCCTGGTCTTCTAATTCAAAATGGAGTGTTTTCCCTATTCTGTCAGGCTGAATCTCAGTCTACAAGAAAAGGTCATATTCTTAGAAAACCAGAAAATAAAATATTACATATATCCCTTTTCTTTTGAATTATTCTCTTGGAAAATTAAGAGTTAAGCTATTAGAGTCTACATGTACTGTCTTTTCTATATTAGCCATTATTAGTGCTAGGAAGAGAAGGTACTGATGGCTTTGGTGGGGATGCTTTAACTTGAGAGAGGTGCTTATTTAGATGGACAATATGAACAATTCTAAATCTTTTGAGGATTCTGTGCGAGAACCCTCATTTGGGCCTTTAGCTAAGCAGAGCTTCGAAGGGCAATACTGCTGAGGAGCCAGCAGAGGGTGAGCAATTTTCACCAAGAGTCTCTTTACGGTTTTACCTTTTGTTCATTTTTTTCCCATGTATTTGATGTATTCCTTGACAGTGGTGGGAAAAATGCTACATTTTCCTGTACTTTTGGGGAGGGCAGAGAGTTATTTTATCAATAAATTGGAGTTTTATTTAACTTACTGGTCAATAGGCTATCAAATGATCTGGATTTGGAAGCATAGTAGAAGTTTATTTGTATGGCTTTCACATGCTTTTCTCCGTAATACTGGTTTAATTTAGTGATTTTAAATGTATATAATCAAATTATATATATTCTTTTACTTCTAATAATTGCTTCAGAGAAGTAATAATGTAATAAGTTCGGAATTATCTCATTAGTCACTTATTTTGTTGGATAAGACGATAATTGTATACTGGCTCCAAAGAAAGTTTGAAATGATAGTTTTTTATAGCTATAGTTTTAGAAATAAAATCCATGTGTCAGGTAGTTGAAGTAATTACCTCCTCATTTTCTCATGAATCTTCAATAAATTTACACATTATTTATTGATTCATTTTTATATCTTTAGAGTTTAGGGTATAAAACTGAATATGATACACATTTGTCCTAAAAGAGTTCATAAGAAACTGATACAGAAAAAGATCATTGAAAATTTTAATGGCAATAATGTAGAGAGGAGGCAAAAGAATTAAAAATGTTAATCAAGCTACATTCAGAGACTGCAATGTGCTGATCAGCCCTGTAGCCAGACCAGGAAGATACCTTCAGAACAAAGAAAGATTTCTGCTGGATTACTAACAACCCATTCCTCACACCTGTGAAAGGGAAACAGGAACCAAGAGTCTTTTCCTATGGCTAAAACCATGAGTAACCTATGGATTAAAGGCTAGGAATTGCCAGAGGCCTTTCACTCTACATATTCTTAGTTATATACCCTTCCCCTTCCTCACTGTATGTCTATATTAAAGAAAATGGGTTGACAAAGTCTTTTAAACAATAACTCACAGAAACTAAAAAATGTTATATAAACTGAATTCCCTGAATGCTGGGCCCCCACCTCTACTCACTATCTTTCCAGTCCTCTCTAGGTCTCTCCCACTCTGTCTGAGAGGAGATCACACTCTATGGAGTGTTACTCCCTTTCTAATAAACTTTCCTTTTGACTCTAACTTTGGCATGTGTGTTGAATTCTTTCTTCATTCTCTGCCTAAGGACCGTCTTCTCTCAGTGCAGGGCTTGGTCTCCCCATCACTTGGGGAAATTTGCCCTGTTCTGCATCAGCAACATTATACAACCTGGAGAGCTTCCTGGAGGAAGGCCTCCTGAGCTATGTCATAAAGGCTGAGTAGGAATGTAGTCTACTCAACATATTTCTTAATCTGAATTTCTGAATTCTTTTCCTCGGCTTCCCTCCGCCATCCACATGATGACAGTTAAGAGCAGTCATTCAGTACCGGTGCCACAAATTTTTGTTCACGAGTAGACATCTAAAACACGCTAAGTCAGTCAGTGTCCCTCCCTAGGTTTTTTTCAACATGAGACCCAGTGAACCTTGAGAACTATGAACTGCTTTGTTTTCTACTGTTTGGTAGAGGAAAAACAACAATAACAACAGTCTAAGTTACATAGACATATACAGAGAGAAGCAAAAACAAGCTGTGGAGAGAACCCATCATCCAGCATTCAAACCTCCAGTTCTCATGTTACCTACAATAGATGATCAGCCACTTCTCTGCCTTTCTGTTTCATGAGACACCCCAGTATCCTTATAATAAATTTCTTTTCTTTTTCTCAAGCTTGTTTGAGTTTGCTTTCTTTCCTTTGCAGCCACAAGAATCCCAGCTAGTATTAAGAGTTACTGAGGCAGAGAGAGCATGAAAGAAGTTTCAGGGGCCACAGGAGCAAGACATAGAAACATTTTTTAAAATGGCACATATAGAGAAATATAACTACTTCGGTATTGTTGAAACATAAAATAAGAGAAAGAATGAGTGCTAAGAGATGAGGTGGGATAAGCTCCTGTCATTTTAAGGAGCTTAACTTTACCCTGAAGGCTACAAAGAGACATAGAATGGTTTACACAGTGAGTGACATAGTCAGATTTGTGGTTTAGATAGATCACTCTGGCAGGAGTTTCTTCAATAGTTTTCTCATCTCTGGGATTATGATGTGTTTGTTGTTCACCCAGGACCCTAGGGGAGGGGGATGGGACAGGGAAAATATATTCTCTTGCTAACTAGAGCAATCTCTAGGATGATGACTTTTCATGACTTTCATTTAATCGCTGTATAACAGTCTGTCTTCCCCTCCATTCTGAAAGTACCACTAGAGCAGAGCCACATCCATTCGTCATGAATTCCCGAGGTCTATTATAGTACCCAGAATATGTGGTTATTTGATCAAACTTTGTTAAGTAAATTAGTGAATGAACGAGTAATAAATAATGATGAGATAGAGGACATAAATTTAAGATATATTTTGGAAATAGTTAGTTAGGACTTGGTGAGTTTGATAAAACTAGCTACATTTATTGAGCTCTTATTATGCAAGAGGCTAAGTGCTTTGCATGTATTACCTTATTTAACAACAATTTTCTGTGTAATATGTACCATACCTTTTCCCATTATACAGATAAGGAAAAAAATAAACTTAAAAAGACTAAGTAGTAGATTGACCTATGTGAGATTTCCATCTAATAACTTGCCTGATGCAGTTAATGAGTCAGGAGCAGGAAACTGTTCAGTACAATTTCTCAGTCACCATGCTATCTATATTACTGCACATAGATATGAAGGGTATTAGGAGTGCGAGAGTCAAGAATTATTTTCAGCTTCCAGTGACAGGTGAATAATGGTATCTCCAAATGAAATAGAGAATACAGAGCAAGAGCACTTCTATCATGGAGATAATGAATTTGATTTAGGACATATGGAGAATAAGGCCTGTGGGATGACCAGAAGACAATGTCCAGCTGAAAGTGAATGGGTATGAGTTTGAAAAAAAATAGCCAGCATTTGCTAAAGAATTGAATTCATTGGTCATTAAATTGTCAGTGAAATATATTGTGAGGTCTAGCAGAGAAAGCATGTTGCTTATGATGAGTACTGAGTGGAGGAGAACACCTTGGGAAATATGACATAGAAGACACAGAAGTGATTGACAGAGACAGGAGAACCCAGAGGGTATAATGCCATGGGAGAAAAAGGAAATAGGAGATTTAGGAAAGAAGAAATAGGAATGAGGGAATGATCTCTGGGGCCACGTGTGGAGGTCCTCTAAAATATATACTGAAAACTGTCTATTGGATTTGACAACCAGGAGTTTATTGCTGACCAAAGTAAAAGCAATGTTTTGTTGGTAAAGTGGTTGGGCAGAAGCCAGACTACAGGGTGTTGAAAATGATTGGAAAGTATAGCCAGGAAGAATAAATAATACTTCTCAATGTTTTCAGTGAGAAGGAGAAGAAAGAGTTCAGACATTAGTTTGACGAGGACTCTGGGAGAAAACAGACTTTTTTTTTAATCCTTAGAAAGAGAAAGACAATTGAGTATGTTTACCAGCTATAAGAAAGAAGCCAGTGAGAGACTGAAAACAGGAGAGGATATTGGTGAAAAGACCTCGCAGAAGAAAGAAACAAGAGGAAGCTCAGAGATAGAGGAGTTCACATTGAACAGAAGTTGGGACACCAAACTTCTGAGCTTAAAAAAAAGTAGGTGGAGATGTATGTGACTGTATGCATGGAAACCAAATTTTAAGAAACATTGTGCTTCATGGGCCTGT